TCCACGTAAGTACATTGCCGAACAGATTCCTAAATATGAAGTTCATTCGTTGCTCCTACTCAGCTCCAGCTGGAGCACCAGTTGGCGGCCATGCCCCGAAAGCAGTACCAGCGCAATTGTGCCTGCTTCACCTCGGACGGGCTGGTGTACACCAAGATCCGAGCACCGTCCGCCAACGGCGGCCACCGCCTGAACAAACGCACGAACCATGGCCAGGGCAAGCGCAGGAACAAGCGGGCGGTCGTCTACCACACGGAAATGCCCTACGAAATGGAGGAACTGCTGGATCTGCACCAGAAAATCGATCTGCTGGCAGTGGCAGAGACAGAGGCTGAGCCCAGCCATCGCAGCAAGCGGGAGGTGGCCGCCAGCGCCAATGCCAGCGCCAGCTCGAACGAAACGATTGCCCAGGTCATCCAGCAGATACAGACCACCCTGGAAACCCTGGAGCACAAGTTCAACGAGCACGACCTGCACAGTCCGAACGGAAACTCCAGTGCCAGTTCCTTTGTGCGTGGCGGAAAGTTCCCCAAGACTGGGGGCCGTGTTGGCCACCGCTGCTTTGTGGATGCGAACACGGGCAAGGTTAACTGCTCGGATGTGATCTACGATGACGAGAAGACGTGGCGCACCTCACGCAACCAGATCGATATGCTGATCAAGCTGCTGAAGGACAAGATCGGCAGACTGAAGGAGATGAAGAAACAGCTGAGGGAGAGCAACAAGCAGGCCCTGGCCGCTGGCCGACGCAACGAGAGCCGCAGGCGCAACGAGGCCAATCTTTTGGGCGAGACTGGAGCCGGGCCTGAGTTCAACATGAGCTACTTTACGGGAGTGAGCAGCACGCCCCGGACCAATGCCAATGGTGTGGGACAAAAGGAGATCTTCCGTGGCTTTGGCAGTGCCGCCGTCTTTGACTCCGTGGAACAGCAGCAGCCCCAGACGCCGCGCTATGCCTCGCGCGCCGAATGCTACTGCGAGCCAGATGCGGGAGAGAAGTAAGCCAGAGTTTGCCTTAGAACTAGCTCACATAACTAATCTCCTGCAATCTCAATCCCCTTCAGCTATGCGGACTCGAAGGAAATGGCCCGGGAGGCGCGTCGAAAGCTTAAAGAGGAGCGTCAGCGGAAGAAGGAGCGCAAGCGCATCAAGAAGGCCCGCCTGGAGAAGGAGTGCCTGTCCGAGAAGATGAACTGCTTCTCGCACGACAACCAGCACTGGCGCACGGCTCCCTTGTGGAACGACAGCCCCTTCTGTTTCTGCATGAATGCCAACAACAACACGTACTCCTGCCTGAGGACCATCAATGCCACCCACAACTATCTCTACTGCGAGTTCACCACGGGCCTGATTACCTTCTACAACCTGACCATAGGTACGTCGGAGTGTCCTCTGGAATACCTCCTGAAGCTAATCATGGACTCCTGTCCGACTCCCTTTAGATCGCTTTGAGACCACGAATCGTGCTGCCAGCCTGACGGCCGCCGACAGAGCCCACATGCATGATGCCCTGGAGCAGCTAAAGGGCTGCCGCGGACGCAACTGCAGCGTACGCAGACATCAAGCGCACCTGGAGTCTGGCTCTGCTCCACATTTGCCCGCAGTCATCAATCAAGTTCAGCGCAACAACAAACGCAAACACTGTAAGCAGCAGTTTCTTGATTTCAGCTTACAAATGTTAACCATTTCCTGTTCCTAAAACCATTCACAATGCAGCTCCTCTGTCGGGCAGTGTGGGCAACTTTGGTTTTGTGGGCAGTCGACTGGACATGGACGGGCTGCCGCCCTTCAAGCGTCGCAAGCTATCCAAATACCACAGGTGAGCGAGTCTCTGTCAACTGGAGTGATTCCTGGAACTAACATTCGTTCTTCAGATGGACTGGCTCGCAGCAGACGCATATGAAGAGGCGCCCCTGGAAGCAGCAGCAGCAGCAGCAGCAGCAGCAGCAGCCACAGCAGCAGCAGTCCACACAGCAGTCCACCCGATTACTGCCCACGCAGGCTGTGACCGCAGCAGCGGCCTAGACAGAGATGTAGACGCAGTTGGAGATGGGGATGGAAAGTTGGAGTTAGAGTCTCCCCAGTGAATACACATATCCTATGCGTACCTTGCTTGCCACTTGCCACCTGCCACCTGCCACCTGCCACCTCCTCCTCCTACCCAGCCCCTCTTTGGTTAGCCCCCACATTGGATTTCTTCATACATAAATAAGACTGTGTTTTTTTTTTTAATCCATCTACTTACGTTTAGTCTCGTTTAACCAGAACTGTTTGTGGTCCTACGACTGCATTCGTCTTGCAATATTTACTCTGTACTGTACTCGTACAGTGCCCTACAGTTTACGACTTTTAATTAGCTCTTAGGCCCCTTAATTTGTATATAAATTTAGACGGAACCGCTAACAGTTATCGAATACGCATACGAACTATACTAAATAAATTATTTAGCGAAATTGGTTACAAGTTAAATTAGTTGAGTAAAACCTAGCAAAGAAATCGATTAACTGTAGCGAACGAATCCAAATCAATCTGTATTTATTGGCCATCCTTGCTAAAGGAACGAAACGCTATGCAAGTATAACAATTTGTTGCCACCGTGTATTAGAGAACTAAAACCATATTTATGCCCGACTAGTTACGTTCTAGGTGTTAAGACCCCCGCCCCTCCACAGAGCCTCGAAAGGCGTTTTTGCAGCTGCCGCCGCGCTTCGCCTACGAACAAACATACAGAATATTGTATCTGCCACGTTAATAATGTCATAAAATTAACTTTAAACACACGTACATGCATATTCAAATTCAACTTGATAACGAAACAAAGTAAAAACAAATAAAGTTGCAAATTATAAACATTTAACGGACATTTTTTTATTTATTACTACACCTTCCTGCTGTTAACCACGGTAAATGTAGCCTGGGAGTCAGGACACTGGAAATAAGGTCCTTCGCCAATCTGTATGGAACCCGAAGCTTTTGCTTGTGAACGTGGCTTTGCGTTCGGGTGAATCCTGAAAATCGATCGGCGCATGAACGCAGCCTGAAAGTATGCTGTAATTTAAATCGCTTTAGATTCGTAGCCTACTTTTGGGCATACGTGTAAAATTAATTTGAAAAGTAGAGAAAGCGCGATGATCAACGGTTTTTTGCCAGGTTTTTCGTAGTTTTTGCAGCTCATGGGTTCCAGGGTTTTCAGGAAGAAGTTCTCGTCCATCATCAGGACTTGTATCATCAGCGGATTACCGAGCATTACTCGGGGCTGGGACGGTGGGTACGTGCGACCCCGGTACTGAGTAGGTAGGTTGCCACTGATCAAGATTATATATAGCTTCACATTGCAGATTGCGCATATCTTTGATCAGATTTTGCGTTTGTGTGCGGTGTCTTTATGCATAGAACTTGGAACACACTCTCCGAGTTGATTTAGTTCGAGCACTTGGGAGGAAGAGGTTCAAGTGGATAATGGCGTAATCTGCCAAGTATACTCGTATCAGAGATTAGGTGTTCCGCTTGCTGTACAGCTTTTGGGCTACTTATATGGTTTTGCAACATTTTAAGGTGTGTGCAGCTCTGAAAGATAGCCATAATGTTAATGATACCAACAACTGGAAAGAGCAAGAGAAACTGGGAAAGACCCTCTGTTCTGATAAGAATAAGAGATTCAACGCGATGCCGTTAGGAAAAGCACCGCATGAGGGAACGGTGACGGAGACGGAGACTCGAGCGAACATCATCAGATGTAAATAAGATCGGGCCGCACCGCTAATTAAGTTGCGGAGATGTTTTCAGTCGCTGTCAAATATTGTTACCGCCTGCCTGACAATTCACACTTGACACTTGACGCGCTAATTTCCGCTGCAATCGGCGGGGCGGCGCTGCGGGTTGGGCGGGCCAGGTGCTGCCGCTGAGGCTGACAGCCAGTTTTGGGGCATAGGCGGTGTACACTTATCGTCACCGAAACAAAACAACACAAAGAGAGATAGTGGCAGCGAGAGAGCCAAGCGCTGAGCAGAGCGAAGTCGAAACCAGTCTACCATTTTGTGGAGATATCGTGTTAAAATTGTACGCAAGCAACAAAGTTATCAGCTTGAAATTGTACTCGGATTTATTGTGGTCTATGCGACAAAATGCCACCCGATCACATGATGCAGAGCGCAGAGGCCTGGCAACAAGGCCTCGTTCATTAGCCCTGCCCTGCCCTGCCCTGTCCAGGCCACTTTACGATTTGCACACTTCAGTCGAGAGATATCGTGCTGAAATTTCACAATGCTTAGAATTCTGTTTTGCTGTTTTGCTGCTTTGCTGCTTTGCTACCTTGCTCCGAGCGGGGCCTGGCTTCGGTCGGTTCGATCTCGATCTTGATGAGGGGAACTTTGTGCCTTGTCTGGGCACGTACTGGGCCATAATCCAGGCGTTCTGTTGAAATTCACAGAGCAAAAATAACTTTCAAGTTTACTACACATTTTATGGGCCGTATTAGAATTTTGAAATGTTTCCCATGATCAGAAGAAGTCATTACGGGCCTGATTGTACATATATAATTTCTCACAAGTTAGTTTATTTTTGTAATTTGCCTTTGAAGATATCCACCTGAAAATTGTAAAACTTGTACCCACCAAGATCGTATAAATTACAGCCATACAAATAAATGCACGAGTCTCGGTAGGAAAAACTTTCATGTGTTATACTCGCAATTTAGAAAAAGTCTCAGTCCAAAGAACGCGTCATAAAGTTTACACCATTGTGCTAATTAATGTCAAATTGGGACTAATAATTTGAAATGTCTATATTGAATAGGAATGATATTATAGGTCGTACGAGACGTCGGGTTTGTGTGACAAACCTTGCTGTTTGTTTAGCAAATTCCACTCAAACAAATCAAAGTTTTCTTTCAAAAGGTGCCCACAGATCCGACGAAAGTTCTCGACGTGTATCAGAAATCTGATCAGAATCGGACTAATGTACCTCTAATGAAAATTCAAAGATATGTATATACTCGGAAATATTTTTACTTATGTACTCTTTATTTTCTACATAAATATACAAAAATTATAAATATATAAACATACTGCTATGCAGCTTATGCCCTAAACGTCCTTCTTGGGGTGTGCTCCTTCAAGAAGTTTTTGGGTCACCTGCCGCAGGACCTGCAGCTGCTGCTCGTAATTGTGGACAGCGGCCAGCTCCTCGGCATGGTTGTGATGTGGGGGCAGGTGGGCGTGGGCGTGATCATGGTCGTGCTCGTGGTCATGTGAGTGACCTCCCGAGCCCGACCTGGTCTCAGTCTCTTGGTGATCATCTGTGCTGGCCGAGCAGCTGCTGTGGCTATGGCTGTGGCCGTGTCCTCCACTGGCGCCTGGAAAAAGGGAGGGCAGGGATTGCGGTTAGTTATCACGAACTGACCAATCTCAAAAGTGTGTCGACTCTAATCTGGGGCACCCAATTTCTAGCCTGATATAAAACCGATTAGAAAACCGATATTCCATTCAGTTTCGGAAGTAGTAGCTCTATTGCGACGGGTACAAAGCAAATTGCAGGCCTATCCATAAACAATTACCCTTCAGAAGATGATTTATGGGCCCCTTCATCGGGCCCCCGCCCTTATCTAGAGTAATACTGTTTACGTATCCAACTTATAGGAAACTTGTTCCAGTTGGAGTGAATCTCACAGACTGGTGCCATCAAATTGTACGTGTAAATATATCTATGGCTCATCTCATCCGATGGACGGAGGGCTGGGCTGTCGTTATTGCTGTGGTTTTGATCGCTCCTCGGGTACTTTTTTCATGGGCAACCCCCGTCGATTGGATAACAGAGATGACTTCATGGCTGGGCCGGGATTTTTTGATCCACCTGTTTGCAAGGTACACAGACAAACAGAGACGTGTGTACGATATGCAAAATAAACCGCAGCAAGGTCTCTTACAAGGTCAACCACGCAGCGGCGGATAAATCTTGGGGCAGAGCTGTGTAGAACCTGTTCCCTAATCGGCCGAATCGATTCCGGTTGAAGAATTGCGTTTGACATCTGATGGCGCGCCGACTAATTACCACTCGATCACGGGATGGAATTAAATGGGAGGGAGAGATGGTTCGTTCTACTTCTATAGTGAAGTGGAGATACTCACTGATCTGCTGGAGGCCGAACATGACGAGGAAGCCCACAAATAGGGCCAGGTAGGCGCGCAGTCCGGACCGGTTCTTCGACAGGATCTCGAAGAACACCACATAGATGAGGGTGCCGCAGGCAAAACCCTGCAGAATGGCCGACGCCAGATTGGGACCCGTCCCCTGGCCATTGCTGATCAAGATACCAATGCCAATGCCCAGGGGACTGACAACGGCGAATGTCAGCACGTACAGGATGGCGAGGGTGAAGCGAGTGCGGGCCACAATCAGCTCCACGCCCACACAGAAGGCCAGCACCAGTTTGTGGGCGGACACGGCTCCGAACATGAACCACACGGAGCTGGCGGAGCTCTCCAGGCCAATGGCCATGCCCTCGAAGAGTTCGTGAAGGGACAAGGCGGAGACGATGAAGAGTCCGCGCAGGGAGGATGTCAGCATGTCCGCCGAGGAGGCATCGTCCATTACGACAGGCAGGTGGCTGTGTCCGTGCCCGTGGCCATGGCTGTGGCCATGGTGGTGCATGTGGCTGTCATGGGGGAGGGCCTGCTGCTGTTTGGCCCCAAACTTCTGCTGCTCGAGATCGTTCTGCAGAAGATTCTGCACGGAGAGGGTTCCCATCTCGGATGTCGCATTGCTGCCTCCATTTGCTGGCGGAGCACTGGGCTCATTTGCCTTGAGCAGATGGCTGTTGCGGATGCTGTGTCCCCGCTCGAAGGCCGCTCCGGCAGGATCCTGCTGGTGCCTGTCCACATACGTGTGCATGGCCTCCTCGATGAAGTACATCAGGAAGAAGCCGCAGCACATGAGAAGCTCCGCCAGCGGGAAGGTGAGCTCCCCGATGACGCCGCACTCCTGAAGTTCCTCCACCACCTCCTGGACTTCTGGCAACAGGTGAAGGAAGGTGGTGGCCAGCAGGACTCCTCCGCCAAAGTACAGGAGGCACTTGACCACTATCGCCGATCGGGCATTCGTCTGGTTCTCCGTCCAGCGGTAGCAGCGATTGAGCAGGAAGGGTATGGATCCGCAGATGGTGCTGGCAAAGCACAGCACCACCATCGCGGTCACCTTGGCTATGAGCACTCCACTCGTGTCATCGTCGTGCTCGTGATCGTGCTCCTCGTCGTGCTCGTGCTCGTGATCGTGATCAGCCTCCCCATCCTCGTCGTGACGCGCCGTCCAGTGGCTGTTGCTGCCATCAATTTGCAGGAAGCATTTCAGAAAATTATTCACTTGCGTTTGATTCATTTTCGCGGCTTCTTTTGTATTGCCTCGTTTTGTTTGGGATATTTCGTTTTGTTTGGCTTTTCCGCTCTCTGCAGCCCACTACGCTCTGCCCTCGTCTCTCTGCTCTTGTCCAGACTGGTCTCTTCTAGACGTTCAATTCTCTTGGCTAAAATGTGCCCAGCAGCATGTGGTGGCGGTTCTGTGCTCGGAATGTCAATGTTGGGTTGGGTTGTGGTTTACCATTTAGTTGTTTACACTTCGACTCTGATTTAAACTTCTTCAATTGCATGCCGCTTCAGCAGTACTGACTTTTTCGTGTTCACTTTTCGTGTTAATGGGAAACTTTTCCTTCACAGCATTTGAATAAACTGCTTTAAAGGGGGTTTATTGGCTGGTTGGACTGCTTTTCTTCGAGTCGCACAGGTGTGGTGTGGTGTTTAACGCTGCAAGCAGTCTCGGCGACGACTGTTTTGTTGGATTGGATTGGGTTGAGGAGTCAAGTTTTGGTAGTTTATTTGAAGCTTTCTTGCGCGCCTCTCTCTCTCTATATCTCTCTCAGCAGACGTGAGCAGCAGGTTAAACAGTTAATACAACACTCTTAAAGCTCTCACTGCTGGCGCTCTTTCTTCCGATCTCTACCCACTCCATCTCGAACGTTCACCCGTTGAATGTTGCTGTTGTTTCTCCGTAATAATAATAATTGTCTTGGGCTCAGCATAAAACACACATCCACACACACACACACACTGACTCATTGCCGATTGGCACAATGCACAAAGGCCAGATGGAGCTTAAGCTTGCGCCCGCGCCTGCGCCCGCGGCCCCATTGAGTAATTGCATCCGTTCACTTTGGCTAGCATTAAAAGGCGCCTGACCTTAGCCAAGATTTAGGATCACCTGAGCTGAACGCGACTTTTACTTAAAGCCAACCGGCAACAATTACAACTGCTACTCACAGCAGCTTTGCGCCGGAAATGAAAGCTTTGCGGTGGCTGTCCCGGCTATGGCGTGAGCTCGTGTAACTCTAACGGTAATTATGTTCAACTTGTAAATTTCTTGTAATTAATGTGTCAACTAGCAAGCAGTTGCGCGAAGTAACTGTAATCGTCATTATTGTACACAGCTTATAATCAGGAATGTGATACCCCCCAAACTACTTTGATTATTTTCTACCTTTAATGCGCATAACTATTGGTTTTATTCGCTTGTAGAACCTTATCTGCATCGCAATTTGGTGAATAGTTGCAAAGGAATGGAAACACCCAATAGTTATATTGGGGCGTTAGCGATTGTCAAGAAGCGAGCATATCGTAGTGCCTTTGATGTTTGATGCATTCGCTAGGATAAACCTATAACATAGGACACGACACAATATTTTTGTTGAGAAAATATCCATTGGAACCCATAACCTAAATCATCACCTGTCTATATACATACATAGGTAACACAAAGCGGAGTATCTTTCCTAACATAGTACCTCACTGAAACAAAGTGGACAAGTACGCGGATCGTATTGAAGCGTGGACGAGTCGTGAATTGTTTGTTAGAGATCGCCTGATCCATAAATTAGTATAATCAACGATCAACGTGATTGGTCTAATTCTTTTGTTTTCTAGTGCGAAATGCCAACTAATTAATCATAAGTTCAATCTTATACAAAACTGCTGTATTTCCATTAATTAGCTTGAGTATCTTTCCGAAAACAATCTGTAAAAACACACGTAGTTTTTCAATAATTTCTCATTTATTTTGTTCTCGTTTTTTCGCTTGTTTTTTGTTTCATTTTTTACTTTCTTTTTTGTTGGTTGTTTCTTTCCATGTTGTTTTCTTACATCGTTTATGCTATCATTTGTTGTTGTTGCTGTTGTTTTCATACTTATAAATTAATAATAAATCATTTTTTATACAATATTTTCTGTTGTTCTTTCGCTTGTTTCGCCGAAACGTTGTTGTTGGGTCAATCATTTGGTTTGGAAAATATGATTTACATTGTGTTATTTCCGTTTGCATTCTGTATTTTCTTTTCATTACTTTTGTTAGAATTAAATTTTTTTGTTTTTAATTTTGTTTTAAAACTGCTTTGCAGCAGTTAACAATGTTAACTGCTTTACCTGCAATTATCAAAAGGCTTGCGTGCACTGTTTGCTAGCCAACCGTTAAACGCGTTTTGTGTTTGTTTTTTGTGTGTGTGTGTGTTTGTATTGTTCTCTTCGCTCCGCCAGCCTTCTTCGTTTTGGCCTGCACTGCTTGGTGTTGGCGTTTGTGTTGGTGTGTGTATGCATGTGTGGTCGCAAATATGTCAATTTCTTCTGTTCTTTTCTTGAATATATATGTAAATCAATGCATGCTTTATGTTTTGTTTCCTTTCTTTTATCAACATTTAAAGTACATTATGTATGTATAATCTGTTATACGTTACTTTAGTTATGTATATATGTATATATATATAAACTAGTGCGAATTTTCGACTTTTCTTGTTCTGCTTGACTGCTTTCCTTTTCATATTTTACTTTATAGCATAATTTGTTTATATTTAATATTTCATATATAATACAAATGATTTTCATTTAACTATACAAGAAATTTGGATTAATTTCATATACTATATTTGTTATTCATGTAAAATTTGAAATTTGATTTTCTGTTAGCTTTCTTTTTTTGTTTGTTTTTGGGTTTCGTTTTTCATTGCTAGAAAGATTGCAAAAAACACTTTAAGTTTGCTTTGTTCTTGTAAAGTTAACACTATTTTTATTTTATGGTGTATTGTATATTTGTAATAAGTATAAAAAATTTGTTTAAAATATATATATATATATTTATTCCACACTCGTATGATTTATTGATTTAGCTGTACTTTTTCATGTTTTGTTTCATGGCGAAGTGTAGAGGAGAAACAAATTCGTTCAGAGTCGGAGATGTGTGCGGTTTGTGGGGGATCTTTTCTTTTCTTTTCAATTCATTTATTTTATTTTATTTTCTTTGGGAACTTGGGAGTAGTGCAGGCAACTTTCTCAGTTAGTTTAGTACTCGTATCACGTAATATCAAAATAAGTGGCTCAGTACAGTCTGTGTTTTTTGTTTTTACCTATCGAGGAGTGATTGATCCGGAACTCGGAGCCCACTTATTATCCACTAAATGAAACATTGGCCTAAGAAATAATCCGCAAAAATAAATGCACAAAACGAATTCAGCTACCAAGAGGGATTCCGAGGGACAGGAATTACTCCTACATTTTGATTTATCCAATAGATACGCTACATGTGAAGATGAGTGTATATATTTCAAAATATCTGCTCGCGTGTGTAAATATATGTACATATGTATGTACATAGATTAGCATTAGAAAAGTGCATCCAAAAAACAGAGCTAAACCAGAGCTGCCTACGCTGATGGGGAGGATCGGATCAGATCGGATCGGATTCGATCGATTCGGATGGGACCTGGGGCAAGGGGTTCTGGGTTCTAGGTTCTGGGGAGTACTTTAACTGCTGCGTGTGCCAGAGCGAGAGAGAGGGGCATACATTTATACTATATATTTGATATATACGTATTATGTATATAAGTTGCTTTCGGTTTCCTATATATCCGCGTACATATGCATTACTTTTGAATAGTTTTTCAAAAATGAAGTTTATTTTCGCTTTCTTTTCTTTCAATATAATTTACAATTTGTTGTTGGTTGCGTATAAATATGGTTTTATCATTTACTTTTCTGTTCTTTTCTTCCTTCCTTCCTTCCTTACTTTCTCTTCTTTCTCATTTAATGATGCTGCACTAGTTTCTCCTTTTTCTTTTAAATATACATACATGTATATATATATAAATATGTTAAGTGGTTTTCTTGTTGTTGTATGTGTATGTGTGTGTTCCTGCAGTTAGGAGCAATGGGGGCTTGTGGATAGGTTTAGAGGGTTTCCTTTCGGATTCCACCGACGCTTGCGGATGGGGGTAGGGTATAGGAGGGGAGGGTGTAGGCGGTAGGGGGGAGCTGCCTGGCTGCTTGTGTGAATGATTCTTGGATTCTTGTTTCTATTTCGGTTTTACGTTTGAATTTTGTTTTCTTTTTTATTTGTAATAGCATTAATTAATAATAATATAATTAATAATTATAATAATTTATATAATAAACGCAAAATTGGTAAATAATAAAAATAATAATAAAATACAATCATTACATTAATTAATCAAAACTTGTTTCATTTTGTTTGTTTGTTTGTTTGTTTTACTCTGTTTTAGTGTATGTTTTAAATGTTTACGGTTTGTTTTGTTGGGGTTTTTGTTTGTTTTTGTTTTGTTTTGATTTATGTTTTTGCATTCTCTGTTCTTGTTTTATGTTTTGTTTGTGGGGTGTTTGTTTTATATTAATATAAATTACAACGGAAGTGTCGGTGTGTTTGTAGTTGGTGTGGGCGTCAGCATCGACGCGGATGGAGGATAACGCAGCGTGTGCTGCGACGTTGCCTGCTGGATGTAATCCTGACTCGGATTATTCAATACGCTATCCCGTGAGTTTGAATGTGAAGTGGCGCGCAGCAGGGTGACTGCCTCGCGTTCCGGACTACATTGTACACCGTCTAGTCATTTTTGGCGCGTCGATTTCTTCTTCTTTCGTTTAAAGAAACAACAACATCTGGAATATAAGGAACCACTGGAGACAGTTAACCAAGGGACAGAAACGAGATTGGATATGGACACGGATACGGATACGGAGGATGCGGGTGGGAAGGGGAGGGGAGTGGATTGGATTGGAGTTGGTGGTGGATGCGGTTAGGGATTTGGGGAGAGAGAGAGAAAGAGAAAACGGAAAAACGGAAGTTGCGCATTAAAAACGACAAAAGCAACAAAAATTTCACTAATTAAGTTGATCCATCAATCGATTTATCGTAGAAATCTATACTAAATGTATCGATAGAACGTACAATATCGATCGCTATTCCGATCATTGAGTATGCGAACAAATAACGTGAGATATCCATAAATTCATCGATAGATTCATCAAATAATGAATCACTATCTTGGATCAGATGAGATGCACATTTTAAGGAATTCTCATTGAATAACATTAGTTCACCAGTCTATCGCTCGATACATCTATTTAGAACAGTGTCTATCTATCGACACATCGATTAATTGATCACTTAAACGACACATACTTTGTTTCATCGACAACTTCGACTTCAGGCTGCTGTGTGATGGGCGTGTTTGAGTGTCCGGCCGTGGGATCGTCCGGATTTAGTTCGCCATTCGTCGAACTCACAACCTGGAAACAAGGACACAGAACAGAGAAAGATAATGCATAAAATATGTGTTATTAGTCATCGCATTTCATCAACTCTTGTACTAAACATATAGTTCATACACATAGTATATATGTATATATATATTTAAAAAGGATATATATACATATATATATAGTAACTGGTGATAATACATTATTGGACGATTTACAGTCGTTATTTTGATTTATTGTTAGCACTAGTCAAAAATGAAATCATTAATCGAAAAACATTTTAAACGAAAACCAGACTTAGAACGCGGTACAGTCACCACATGAAACAAAACTGTTATACAGCTCTACAAAACCAAACTGGACTACGTGTGGGAAATTTTGAGGGATTTATCCTTTGCAAACGAGCGATTAACTATCAATGGCTGTCATGAATTTCCCCTACTGGACCTACTACAGAGATTGCCTTTCAGCAGCGGAGCTCGTTTGCACACCACAAGTCCAGGCACACACACACAGATGCTACTACACATAGATGATGAATGACAGGACACACGTAGACGACAGGACAGACATCATTAATATAGCAAATACCTCTCGCTTAGGAACAATAGGAAACTCGTTGGGCATATTTCGGAGGGTAAATTCGTTTGTATTTGAGTAATAGTAGTAGAAGAAGTAGAGTAGTAGTAGTAGTAGATAAAGTAGTAGTAGTAGTGGTGGTGGTAGGTGGTTCTTTGATTGTTGTTTTTATTTCTTGGGCGGTTCGTCGTCGCTTTTCTCATAATAAGCATCGAATGGGCTATCATCGTCGGAGCTAGAATCTTCGGGCAATCTCTGTAATAAGTTTTTGGTGGTTTGTTTCGAATTTGTTTCGATGCATCAAAAATGGACTCTCCAATACTAAGGCTAGGGCATGCCAATGATAGATATATCGGTATCTGATTTATGACAAATGGAAATCCTCTGGCGCCGAATTCTTAAGTCTATGACTGTATTTGATTTGCGATTATGTGAGTGTGTTTTTCTGTGTGTGAAAGGTGCAGCCATGCAGCTTCTAAGTAGTGGTCTTTGAGTGGTGACATGGTGGTGTGACATGCAGACAAGTACAGTTACGGCTAGACCAGTGTTGGTTAATGCGCACAGCATGCAGGTGCGAACACGTTTCATCTTCTTAAAAATCTCTCATGCAGTTTTCGTTGTGGAATCCTCAATCAATTACTCTAGTCAAGGAAAACAAAAAAAAAATACTAGAGGAAGATCCGAGAAAAAGTGTCACCCAAGAAGAGAACGAACGAAACGTGGGTAGAAACCAAAACGAACCGAACAAAAGTGGAGTAAACTAGAGTGGAGAGGATTAGATTAGGAATAACACACGTTGGGAGGAGATTGAGAGAGAGAGAGAGAGATTGTTGTTCAGTACCTTGTTGAGCTAATGTAGAGTAAATCAAGTGAAAACATTAGAATTGAAAAGGCCAAAAATATAACAGTCTGCGAGTAATTCAATGAATAGATAAGGATAGATATACTTATAGGATATACAATACGGGTATATGTATGTACAAAATTACAATCGTTCAAAGACTTCAATAACATAATGAGGCGATAATGCAAATATGTATGTATTATGTATTTATGTTCGTAGATGTTGGGACATGTTTTGTCCTTGCTACAGAGTTGTTGTACATCTTGGTACATTTTTATTTATATACAATTACAGACTGAAGACAGAGCGGAGAGCGGAGGAGAGCGAGCGAGCGACAAAACAGAAATCAACAGAACAGAGTAAACGGAAAAGAAAGAAAGAAAAACGGTTGTACAACACTGGCCGGTTGTCGCAGCGAACTTACCTGCACTGAGCCATGCCGATCGGCCGGCGTTAGATTGCCCAGTGTTGCCCCCGGCTTTGGCACATCAGGCCACGCAGCAACACCTCCTTTGGCATTTGTCTGGTGGTCGATTCAATGCGATTCAATTCGATTCGGTTCGATGGTTGATTGTGGAGGATTGGAGGTAAGTTGTGTGGTTTTGGTTTTTTGTTTTGGGTACAGTTTTCGGATCGGTTTTCGAGCGAGCGAGCGAGCAATTGTTGGAAACGGATTTATGCAAATTTATCAATAATTAATTTTCGATTGGTATACATTTTCTTTTTGGTTTTACTGTACAACAAAGAGACAGTTCTAATTTGTATAAAGTATTTTTTGTGGTGTGTATGTTTTGTGTGTGTGTGTATGAGTCTAAATAAAACTAAAGCAAGTCAAGAATGTGCTGGAACTAAAGTTATCACCGGACCAAAAACCGAAAACATAAACTTATTTCATATGGTAGACAAGTCAAGCCAACAAAAAATCAAAATTTCATCAAACAAAGAGGAAAGTAGAGCGGAATTAGTTGTGTGTGAGAGAGCAACGCTACTACAAGACCCGTTCACCAGCGATCAATCGATTCAAGCAGGTCTAATACACAGAAGTAAGGTTAGTTCAACTCTCAGTGTTGCCAGGTTGAAATACGACACGAGCATTTTCAAGCTGGCAGTCCCCTGAAAGGCAACAGAGCAATTCCTTGGCAAAAGAAATTAAAACAAATTGCAGACGAAAGCCATTTCTGATCCTAGCATTACTCTCTACAATCTGTTATACACAGACGTATTCTAGTATGTTGATTGGTTAGATTCGCATTTCACACTAACCAGTACAGAGATATTTTTCAAGTCTACAACGTCTAACCTGGAGTACGATATATTCTTCATTCTCATTCTCATTATCGTCATCAAAATCAAAATATGAAACATCCTATAGATATAGGAATCTCATACATGTATATAGGTTTGTACAGAACGTAAATGGTAACATTTTGTGTGGAGAGAAAAGTAGGAGTAGTAGGAGTAAAACAAAAGCGTTTGAGAGAGTAGGGTGGAAAAAGAAGAATAGTTAAAGATCAAATGTTAGAATGGAATAGAAAAGAAGAAGAACCAAAGAGAGAAAAGTCAGCTAAAGCTATACTTAAACAAAGGTAACTGTTGTTTGTCTTACAACCATTGAGTATATAAACGAAATTAAGTTACATTTCCATCAGAGGGACAGAGAGACATACAGATGTATAATTGTATACTGTAGAGTGGCACAAGGTTTGGTTTCTGTTCTGGAATATGGATTATATATGTATATAAGTATACTTTACCTTAGCCGTAACATTATGCCGATCTTTATTTGGTGAAATGATGACTTCATGGCCAGTTTGCAGAGATCCGACGGGCGTTGACTGTTATTTTTTGTCGTGTGTCAATGATTTTTTTTTGGGATGCAGTTGGGTTTTTTATTTGTATTATATATGTTTATATATATATAGATGATGCAGTTTCGAGTTTTTGGTTTTAACACACACATAGAGAGTTACACGCACACGGACATGAAACGGTGTTGATAACCGAAAAAAAGAGAAAAAGAGTTCAAGAGAGAAGAGAAGTGCTGTTAAAAATGGCATCAAGTTATTGCTTAAGTTAGTTTCATCATTTATGCTTAATTTTACGCTAGCTTAACCAACCAATATCAAAAGCAAACAATACAAGCATTTACCAACACTGAGCGGGCGAGCGAGCGATTGAGCATCATACATGGCTATGCAACACTGATTTCGATATCTCTTTCTGTTTTTCTGATACCTTATCTGACTTGTTCTTGGCCAAATGCGACGGCGGCGCATTCTTAATGACTTTCATTTGATCCAGCTGCTCCTTGGTCTTAAAAACAATACAGAAATATCTAAATTGCTGTAGAAAAACTATGGGTAAGATGGGTAGGAGGGTGTAAGAGGAACAACGACGATAAAACATTTTCGAATAGTTTTTATTTTATGGGATTGGTTTTTTAACTTTGTCCGTAACTTGGGAGGAAGAGGGCGGCCTCGAATAGAAAATATATATTGCTTGGCCAAAGAAGATAATACATGAATGGAACTTTTGAACAAACTGATCGTCATCTGCTTCTCGTTCCGCAGCATCAAAAAGCGAACTGAGCAATGGTTATGGAGCCTTCAGATTGATTGGGCTCTACGTCGTAAGATCGATAATCAGTCGGCTTGCGTATTTTGGCGATCGTGATGATGGATTTATTTGATTTTTTTTGATTAGTTACATTGTCCGCTCTTGATCGATCTTTTCCATAATTCAAAAATGATGTTTCGAGTTAATTGGATGGTTCCTTGTTTGGGCTTGGATTTTTTATGGGCTATGGGTATACATCTATATATATATTTACTCTGATCTGATCTAAAGGTTTGCATTCGCACTATGTCTCCTATAAATTAAATTATGATATCGATGCTTTAGAATTCGGCAGAGTTATCTTTTCGTGTGTCTATGTGTGGTGTCTGTGGTGTCCTTGGTTAGAATGCACTCAATGAAAACTTACGTATAGTGCATGGTTAGGATTTTGATTTTGTAATAATTGGGTTGAATGGTAACCACCTACCATTGTCTTCCCTGTCCAGTCGAACTCTCCCTCGTCGGTGTAGTTCTTACGGTCGAATAAGTCTTGAAACAGTCTTCGCAGAAAATCATAGTCGGGCGTTTCGAAGAAATCTAACCGCCGTACGTAACGCAAATATGTTGCAAACTCTTCCGGATGTCCGTCGCAGAGCACCTATAGGAAAAGAACTGCCATTAGAAATCATTACTTCAAAATGTGAAGGGATTAAGAGACCTCAATGGGCGTTGCACGTTTCGTATCACCGATTTTTTGATATCTCTCCTTGAGTGTATCAGCCTTAAGGCCTTGCCACGGCAGTGAACCTCTTAAGAAATACATAAACATATGACCCAATGCCTCCAGATCGTCACGTCGCGACTGCTCACGCCCCATATGCGTATTGATTGACATATAGCGTGCGGTGCCCGTTAGGGACTTATGCTCCCGATATGGTATATGCCTATTTGTATCTAAATCAATGTATTCTTTGGCCAAACCGAAATCTAAATAAAAGACGAAAGTCGATCGTTATAAGGGTTTCCAATTAATATTCGACTACTCACCAATTATGTGTATAATTTTTTCACGTTTTGTTGACGTTCTGCCAATGAGAAAGTTCTCTGGTTTCACATCCCTATATATTAAGTGCCGACTATGAACATATTCGATCCGGTGGAGCTGTAGTGTTTGGAGTTGGGTGATGGAAGGTGATCACAGGAAAATAGAAAGAAAATCAATTAGCTAAAGTAGAATTTGTTGTCGATAATTCTATAGGAGCAATCCATAATATATCTTAAGACCATTATGGATTGCTCTTTTATTAAACACAAAATACAATTTATTTTTAAATTTTACTTAGATTTTCTGCAGTGTCTCAACTAGCTTTGATTTTTACTGTTTGCTGTTTGATGGCAACGGATTTGATTTGATTTTGGTTTTTTATCGATTGATTGATTTCTCTGATAAATCATAGATTAACAACTTAAAATGTCTATTTTAAACTACAAAATCGTATGTAGACATGCAAATTTTATATCATATTACAATGAACGTTTGTGGTTTGGTTTTTGGCTGAATTTCGTGGTAAATTTATAAACTATGGTGGCTATAAAAACAAAACAAAAAAGGCAAATTTTAAGTGTATGACAACCTCTGAATAATGTAGGCGAATAATCAACTTAAGAAACAAATTATAATTAAAATTAAACCTCAACCAGGCGTCTACAAAAAATGCGAGAAAGAGAGTGAGAGTCGCAGAGAGAGAGAGAGAGAGAGAGGGAGAGCGGGCGAGAGCGAAATAGAGGCAACGACCTAATTTGTTAGTGATGGAAAATAACAAATTAAAAAAAATTAATAAATATTGTAAATATTATAATTTTTAAAAACGGGTAACCCTAATGAAAAATCACACACATACAGTCTCCCAAGCCCAGCACACGCACACAAACATAAAATAGAATAGTGTTCGTCTTGATCTTAGCAGTAGTGTTGGTTAATTTTTGGCCTGACTACCAGTGTTGTGAGAGAATATGATTATGTGCGTGCTTAAAGAAAACTTTGCTGATTGTTGTTGCGTTTGTTGCTGTTGCGATTGTTGGTTTTGTTTTGTTTTGATTTGATTTGTTTGTGTTTGTGGTTGTACTTACTAATTGTATAGCTATCAGTAGTACGCTCTTCAAAGTGAAACGTCTGCCGCAAATATCGAACAAATCTTCGAGTGATGGACCAAGTAATTCCATAACAAGAGCATTATATTTGCCGCATGGGCCGAAGTAATATACTTCTGGTACACCCTCTGCTATTGGCCAACAATCGTTGGATGATTGGTTGTTTGGTTGTTTGTTTGGTTGGTCGATTGGTCGATTGTTGATTGGTTCATATGAAATTTGGTTTATTTTTTTATTTGCAAGGAATCGAGCGAGTGGTTTGAGTGTTGGACAGCGCACAAAAGATTTTGATGTTCGATTTGTTGTTCGGTTGTTGTTGTTTTTGTTGTATTTATGCAAAAATTCGTGAGCGAGAGATAAAAAGAGAGAGAGAGATGGGAGAGAGAAGAAAGAAAGATGAGAGATACAAAATTTCACATTTGATATAACAGTTTTTCTTTTTGTTTTTGAGGGAGCTGTACTTGTTTGATATGGCGAGTTGTCGGACACAACGAGAAAGAGAGAGCGTGATTGAGAGAGACAGGGAGAGATGTGTAAAGCGAGAGATTGAGAGACAGAGAGAGCGATGGAGATACGGCTCATGGTTTGGAGGTTAGTTTAGCGCGTCTTACGATATTACCACCTTTTATTTGATCGATAGGGAAAGAGAGAGAATAAATATACAATCAAGTAACTGTGCTAAACACAACAAGAACAACAAAAATAGAGATTCTCGAAGCATATACACGAGGAAGCCTGCTGCTGCTCGACGACCCCAACTGAAGCACAAGAAGAACTCGCCCAACGCCTAACCTATAATCCTAACCTAACACAATATTGAGATTTCGACAACTGTTTCAACAATTTTCTTTGAGTGTGCTTAAGGATACGCTTAAATATTATAGTAGTTGGCTTTCCTGGGGTGTTGCTGTTGCTGTCGCTGTCGCTGTGGGTGTGTGGTCTGTGTGTGTGTATGTGTGTATAACAGTTTTGGAGGTGTTCCGTCTCTCTGAACTCGATTATTGATATTCCAATCAGCTATTTCGATGGGCAATCTTTTGCAACAGTGTTAGTAGTTTTTTTGGTTAAATTATATACACTTTCGATCATAGAAATAATCATAGAGAAAGAGAGAGAGAGAGAGAGCGCAGCGCATACGAAAACAAAAGTGAAAGACAGAGATAAAAAGTATTTTTAAGTAAACAACTAAACATGTGTATTAATTATGCTTTGGGCAAAGTTCAATTTCGAAACATACTGTTTTGCTGTTGTTGTTTTATTTACAAGGAATTATTTCTGTTGCTGGTATGCCTTAAATGTGTACTTTTTTCTATTTATATACGACGCTTATTTACATGCTTTTAGAATAAGTTTCTTTATAGATCGTTACAAATGGTAGCTACAATCAAAAAAAAAAAAAAAAAAAAATTTAAGATAAAAAACAAAGAAGAATTGTATGCAGTTTTTAATCAAATTACTCTTACGGTATTTCATTTCTTTCTATCTACAATAAACTAAAAACTCGACTAACGTTCATTGCGTGTGTTCTACGAGATTTATAACAGTTTCGTAAATCATACAAATTATATAAAAACCATTGAGAAAGCTAACTTTCAGCCGTTGAGACACTTTTGGTTCATAATGTTATTAACAATTCCAGAAAAAATAGTATCCGTTGTGTTTTTTTGATGAGTTTTGAACGGATTTCACTAAAGGAACTTTGAAACGCTTGATGTTTTCCAATACTAAAGGATACTGTCAAACACTGGTTATGAAAGAAATTTTCAACGCAGTCGCTTGGACATTCTAACCATCATTAAGATATCAATGATCCGTTCACACCTCATCAAAAATACAAAGAATACGAAAAGAATTCACTTTCGTTGTGTTGATAGTTTTCCATTTGTTTGAAGAATGCCACACTTACAAGTTGTTTTGCTATCATCAATACAGTCTTAAGTGAAAATTTACGGGCGCAAATATTGAAGAGATCTTCTAATGACAATCCCAATAACTCTAAAACCATGGCATTGTAACGGCCACCGCAAGTGCCCAAGTGATAAATGCGTGGTACGCCATCTGGGGCGGATTCGGCTGGACATTCGTTTCATTTCATTTCATTTCATTTCGTTTCATTTTGTTTCATTTCGTTACGACGTACAAGATAGAATCCATTTCCAAATTACGATCCAGTCCGATTTCATTTCCGATTACCATTCCGATGATGGGGTTGATGTGTGAGGGGGTTTCGTATATAACATGCCATCACAATGTATTATGCAACAGTTTTAGGTTGGATTCAGATCAGTTTCGGATCAGTTCGGTTTCGGTTTTGGGTTGTGGTTGAGGTTGATTGCAGCAGACACAGGGAGATCGATATATTTATATATATAGAGAGAGAGAGAGAGAGATAGAGACAGAGAGCAGCGCATGATGATCAATTTCGGGTTTGAATTTCAATTTTATTAACGGGTTTTGTTCAATTATTCATTGCGAATGAATATATGTTTTCGGGTTTTTGGAGTAGGGTGGGTTTTCGCAGAGTATAGTTGTTGTTGTTGATGAACAGAGAGCAAGATATATGTATATATATATAATAACAACAAACAAGAAAAGGAAGTAACGTAAGAAAAAAAAAAATACAAAAAACAAAAAAGAATTAACCAAAAATAGGGCAAAAAACAAGAGTTCAGAAATCGGTATATATAGCAGATATAGAGTATATACAAATGTATATATAACATATAGAGATAGAGATTTAGCAGTAAAGTGATTTTGGAGCTGTTTTTACATTTGGTGGGTATAACAGTAGCTAGAAAGCCACAATAATATTTATACAATACTGTATATTGCAATACGTATTATTATTAATTTTCTTTGTCAAATTTCACTTCACTTCACGCACCGCGACCGACCTCCGAAAATATGCTTGAGAAAATCTATTAATGTTTTTCCTCTTCTCGTCGTAATTTTCATTCTTCTCAACGGCGTATAACACTGGCTGGACACAGCCAAAGAGTGTTATACAGAAAATGATAAGCAAATCGTTACACGAGAGTACAACTAATCAAGTAGTGGTGGTAACGGTGCAAAACTTTGTTTTATTTTGGAGTTTAGGTTAGTAGGAGGTAGACAGAGAGGTATAGTTATATAGATAAATAGATATATAGAGGGAGAGATAAGTAGTAGAGCAAGAGTGCTTGGTGTTATCTGGCATATTCGTTTCGGTGCAGACGTACAGTCTGTACCTCTTTGGCTTGGCTCTTTCTTGAGGGATTTCTTTCGGGGGGGGGGTTAGTAATTGTTAGTTTTCTGTTGGTTTTATTAGTATTACGAAAGAGGACGACGGCGTTTGGGACGGGGTTTCAGTGGGGCTTGTGTTTGCTTGTTAGGGTGTTAAGGTGTTGAGGTTGGATTTAATAAATAGTTAACATACCATGTGATCCTAATAGTTTATAAAACCTATACTCTAAGTGTAGTTGCGGAGCCTTTGACTTCATAGGCTCCATTTTTATTGCTACATGTTCATTGTTGTAAAGATTTTTTCCTGAAAATAAAAGGAGAGCAAAATGTTAGTTCGAATTGAAACATGGTACGATAAATCGTCATTCGAGGGGGGAGAAAAAAAAACCCAAACACTTCAAGCAAAAAATAAGAGAAGGAATAAGAGACCCTCTCCCACGCACACAATTCTCATGCTCAAGACGGGAGAGACGGCATGCATTCTTCGCGCACACTTTCTTTACCTGCCCCACTGTTCTCGGCAGTGCCACGCCCACCAAAGCAACACATTCGACGACCTATGTCGGGCGGAGGAAGAGTGAGAAAGACGAAAAGAAATATATACAAACTGGGAATTGCATTTTTGTTTTATATTTATTTTTTTTTGTTTGCTGATGTGACGAAACACACACGACACAAGCAACGGTAAACGATGAAGACACACTGACAGAGACAGACGATGTCAATGATGAAGAGCAGAGATTTAAAGCATCGGGTGCCGAAGCGTTTGATACCGTTATGATTTCTATTACAGCTATAAGAGGCAATAATCTGATTGGATTATAGTTTATGATCCGATGCAATTCCTGCCAAGCAGTGCCAAGCAGTGACAACATCTGCTCATAATCAGCATACCCTCAGCGAGGGTATAACAAGTTCGCTCATGTGCGAAATTATGTCATAAGAGAGTGGGTGGGAGGGCGAGACTGGAGAGGTAATGGAAGAGAGAGCCTCTGAATGAGTCTGAGCGTAAAGTGGAAGAGTGTGAGAGAGCGACTGAAACGTGTGCCTCAACGAGCGAGTGAGTGAGCGACTGAGCGTGTGTGTGTGTGTTCAGGTGTGGGTGGGTGTTTGACGGAGGTACAGTGCTTATCAACAGACAGAACATTAAACCGTTGATAGAGTCATCACACACACACATACAACCACACACACACACTTATGAGTGTATACAGCAAACACACACAGTGTCAGAGAATGCCGCATGACTTTGATTACATATAGACGACGACGTCGTCCCCCAGCAACGCCCTTTGGCACGCCCTCCTGCCACCCAACCCACCCACCCACCAAGCCCACCACAGATTAGAAAGCCCAAAGAATTTCATTTGTTAATTTCTTAGAATGAGTGAAAAACATGCATTTAAAATATTTTATAGAGTATCAAGGGAGGGGGGGTGGTGAAACGGGAGTGGCAACAGCATGTGGCGACAGGCGACTGTCATTCAAAATCGTTTTGTTTAATTGCTGTGCACGGACATTAACAATTTCCATTGAAAATGCATTGAAAAATACCGAAAGCCAGTAAGGAAAGCAGTGCATACCAGTGGCTGTAGTGGTTTCTTAAAACTGTAGAAAGCAGTGCACTTCCAAGGAAAGGAAGCCCTTTCCAAGACCTCTCTACAATTCCCTTAAAACCACATTTCGTACACCAGTGACTCTCAAACAACATGACCTAACGCAATACACAATATTAATCATTAATCATAATAAATGAACCTCAGGCAGAGCGAACTCCCCAACCTCAAAAGTAGATGCCGCCGAATAGGAACAAAAGTTTTCCATAAAAAGCACACACACACAGTAGACCCCGACCCTAAACAACAATTTCTTTTTTAAGGGCGTGCTATGGAAAACAGAAATAAACTGAGAAAAGTTCCCAAATTAAACGAGAAACGCCCACGCAAAGCGCCCATAAAAAGAGAGAGAAAGAAACCCACCTACATTCTTTGTTTTTCATGATTTTCCTTTGACTTTTTTCGTGTCTGTTATTTCTTCTATTAAAAATTGGGAAATGCCAAAATAGCGAAATGGGCGTGTGAAAGAATAAACCAAATTTGTCACTTTTATTGCAATTCATCGAAATTCCCCACAAAATTGAAAATGAAAAAAAAATCCCCCAAAAATATCGCAACTTTTATCTAAGCGTTTTGCGGTAATCGGATTTAATGGGAAATAAGCGAAAAGAAAACAAACAAAGACACACACACCACACACAATGGGGGAAATATATATAGAGCACAATTAATAAAAATGATATCAGAAGCAAGGGAAAAAGAAGAAAAAGAAAATAACAAGTGTTCTGTGACGTCACAGAAAACGTCTATAATTTAATCAGACGTTGGACTAACGTCACAGCGTGAGGTGCGGCTACAGTTGGTAAAATATTAGATGAGATTTGTTAGATTTGTTTGTTAATGCGACTTTACGGGTACGGGTACGGGTCTCCTCTTATCGAAAACGATTCAAATTGAATGAACGGGCTGTGAGGGCTCTGCTTGAGTCGAGCGCGAGCGCCGAAAGCAGTTAAAAGCAAGCAGTCTCAGTGCTGCGATCGCGCTGTTCTACGGCAGTGCAGTGATGCTAAAACTGTATGGGATTTCCTATTTGCGAAATAGCTAAAGAAATCCCTATCGTTTAGCAAGAATATAAATGAATCCAATTAAAAACAGCTTTTTTGTATTCTGTGTATCTTTTTTCTCCATTCTCCAATCTCCGCCATTCTGCATTGTCTACTCTTTTCCAGCGGAATGATTCATGCAAAAACCACATTTGTATGGGTGTGTGTGTGTGTGTGTGATGCCCGCGCAAAATGCAAATAAGAGAAAAAGATGAAGAGAGAACGACAGAAAGAGGGCAAACAAAACAAATAACAAAATGAGCGGCCTGAGAGATAGAACAAAGAAAAAGTGCGGCTCCAGCTTTAAATGGGGGGCCGCAATTAAGAGAGCGAGAGAGAGAGAGAGAGAGAGAGAGAGGGAGTGTAAACTGTACAGAGGTTTAAGAAGCACTGATAGAGTGTGCTTGTGGAAGGTAGGGCATTCCGAGCATGCGACTCTCCAAGAATTTGTACCTTTAAGGCAGGAATGCCCACAGTTTTAGCAGCACTGCTTCGCTGGGAGGTGGGGGCTACCTGTTGGCAATGTGACAGCAAATGCACAAAAGGAAGTGGCAGGCCCCAAATAAAAAAAAGAGGGGCACAGACGGGGAGGGGTACGGCGGTGCGGGGCGAGGCAACAACTTTATAAAAGCGCATTTAGCAAACAAAGCAAAAGTGACGACAACGACGACGACGACGACGACGACGACGCCAAGAAAACAGATGGCGGAATGGAATGGCATGGTTTTTGTTGGCTTGTTTGTTTGCTGCTTGTACGGTGGGCACTCTCGTGAGTAAAAAAAGCCACTGTTCTCATTGTGGTTAATACTGTTTGGCAGCAACAGTCGCCGACTGAAGAAAGGAACGAGGGGCAGGGGCCGGGCAGGCCACAACCTGGAAGGACGAAGCGCTACCTCCAAGGACCGAAGCTTTAGCTACCCTAGGGTACCCTTCGGTCAAGGAAATGCTCAAAACCAGTATACCCTCTGCCAGGGTATCGAAAACGTCGGGGCGACATTACTTGCATTCCAAAAAGGTAAATGGGAAAGCAGAGGACAGCAGGAAGGGAGCAGCGGACAGCAGGAAGGGTAGCGCAGAACAACAGGATGGGAGGAAAACAACAGACAGCGGAATGCAAAGAGGGTGTAGGAGGAAAGGAAGAGGGTGTAGGAGGAAAGGAAGAGGGTGTAGGCGTGCGGGTGGGTGGGTGACAGGTAGGCAGAAGCTCGGCTTTGAGTCATCATAAACTTAATTTGCTATTTATTTACAGCTATTGCGGCCGGCGGGAGAGAGTGGGAGGGCACGGAAGCTTTTCAAGAGAGACCATTTCTTAGATTGATGGCCTTTGAAAGCTCTCCGAGCAGCCTCTGGGGCTGTTTGATATTCCGCAGCGCAATCGATAACCAATGGACGATGGAATGAATCGATTTCGATATCACTTTCGAACACACAACATTGGGATTATATGTATATCGGGGTCTTGGGTACTTACCTAAACGCAATTCGCCAAAATTACCACAGCCAATTTTTTTACCGACACGAAAATTTGGTCCGACCATAAGTACACCGGTCGTGGTGCTTACAGATTGGCGGGTGGAATACATGTTATTGCTTGAGCTCTTAGCACCGGCTAGGGCTGTCGTGGTATTGGCCACATTACCAACAGATGGACCGGCAATTGTCGTCGGTGGGCCGCCGCCACTGGAAAGCACACGGAGAAGGAAATCGATTAGTATCTGATGGAGTTTTCACTTAAGGTTTCGATTTAAGGCAAGGCTAAGCTATCCCATATAAGCAAGTATCCCACGGATCGCTCTTACACGTACTCCTCTTTCGCTTTGTAGGTTGACACATATTTACGCAACATTTAATTTAGAATTCTGCTGACTGGATCGGCACAATTTACAACACAAAAACAAAACAAATAAAATACAAATACGGGATTTATAAGTCTGTGCTGAAATTCTTACTATAAAATCGATTGCTACTCGGACTATTTTTTTATTTTTTTGTATGCTTTTCTTTCGTATGGAACAGAAATCACACACACAGAGCACTCCAAAAGTTGAAAATAAATGGAAAGACAATTTTTGTTGTTGTATGATTAATGAAAACATGGGATCTTCTTTGTGTTTCAAGTAAAACTGTAATGGATTGTGATCGTTTTTGCCTCGAAGATGGACGGAGAAGCAAGAGCGGGCTTGTACTCCGCAGACCCTGATAGAAGGCCGTCGTATAAGCTTCCTATAGCGGGCACACGATGTGGTCAACCGATTCGTTGACGGGCCCAAGCACGACCAAGTCGGTGCCGATCTATTGGGTTCCCAGCCACCAAGGCACCACCTTCTGGCTAAGGCTGTCGCCCTTAGAACGCCTTAGTCGACCGGATTACAGCCCGAGAGCAGGTGGAGGAATATCACAATCCGGAGAAACCTCGAAAACTCTGTGCAAAGAAGGCAACGGAAAACTCTGTCACTACTTATGGCACCTTCTACGGAAGGACTTCAGACTGTTAGTGGGTCAGTGTCTGCCTCAGCTACAGAAGCACCCCGATTCTTGAGGTGTTTCAAATCTCAAAGGCACTCCCGCAATGGTTTATACCCCCCATTCTGATGGGTCCATGCGTGGCCCCTCTGAGAGCCTAACAAAACCTATAGATAGTATTATTTTAAATGATTCCAACGAAAATGAGGCTCATATCTTGAATGATTGGAAACATCCAAGGCCCAGTACTCGTACGAAGGACAAGTAAGATCCCCTAAGGACTGGGGACAATATTCATAGCGCTTCATCGTCGCACAGTTTATCTTTATCTGTATACAATATGTTGTACCCGTATATCCTTTGTTCTCCACCATTTGCCTGAATAAAAAGTTTACCTAGAAACTTGTTCGCTCAAGTCTTGGTCTTAGCCCGTCTAAAATAAAATTGTCATGCCGCAAGTGGGCGTTACCCCGGCAGCTTATAAGAAACGACAGGACAATGACACAGAAACTTTTTTGCATTATAAAGTGCCAACACACAAAGAATCGATTCAAGTCGAGTGTGGAGTGCAGAGTCGACTCTCGAGTGGACTCAAGTGAAGTTTTGTCTAGGCCAGGTAGGTTTTCTGTCTGCGGGTCTGGGGGGCCAAGAGCGGGCCTAGTGGCGAGGCGAGAGCGCTCGCCCAGGCGTAACCATTCGGATCGGAGGGCGACGGAGTGACTCATGACTCAGGGCCAGACAAGGCGAATACTCGGTTCGTTTGATTAAGACAAAAGGTTTTACTTTATTGCATTTCTCGTGTTGGCAGTGCTGTTGGGGTGTGGCCCAATGCAAGATCTTTTTCATAATGCCAGAATTGGGTTCAATGTCAGGTGGAGGATGACCCAAATAAGGCTTAAAGCCATCAATTCCGTCTTTGGAAGAATGAATCATAGAACTGCACCTTATCTTTCCCCAAGAACATGGAAATGGGCAAATAGTAACCAATGCAAAGACAAACAGGCACAAAAGATTAGACTATCAACATGACCTGTTATCTAAATACAGATATTTGTCCCTATAATTTCTGGGAAAATCTCTTCAGAGTTCGGCGCGACCTTTTGGGGTGCCTTCCTTCTTTACATTCCACTTTTAAGATCTTTTTCGCTGATAACATACCCATAGCAAATATCCCCCCATTACACACAAGATGAATCGACGATCTTTATGGATATTATATGGATTATATGGTGGCATATAGCAATTTTCATTTGGTAGAGAACAGGGGGCTCGATCTCCCCTCTACTCAATCTCTGTAGAAATAGACTCCGCCCAAACCATTAACAGGAAATTATTAGTTAGTCTTTCTACTTCACAATCTCTCCCCGATTTCTCTGTCTCCCCTTTCCTCCTCTTCTCTCTGTCTGTCGGTCTTCCCATTCTCTACTTTTCATCTAATATCAGTTTTTGTTGCTTGTAAATTATTATTTTGCCAGCTGCAAACGGGAGTCGGGATAGAAAATCTTATCTGCCCACACACCAACACCAACACACACTCGCTCAGAAAGAGCACAAGCGCTCAATCACAGAAGGAGTGAACGCGATCGTGAGAGGGTAAAAGAGAGAGAGATAAACACACACAGACACAACCGACTCGACCGATAATTGTACCGTTAAGCGCTGTTGTAAAAAATAAAACACAGAGTAAAAACCGCCGATAACAATTAAAGACTAAATTGCTCCGAGAGAAAGAGAAGCAGAGTAGGACCATCGAGTGCGACAGAGGGAGATGGAGAGATCACAGAGAGCAGGCGTCGAAATGAGGCAGAAACAAGTTCGAGTTCGAGTTCGACTTCGATTACAAGTTCTCCTCCCTCTCCGTTTCCGTCTCCTGCTCTACAGAAGCAGGCAAATTTCAATTGGACTCCCCTACACCGTAAAGGAAGGCGCATATGGATATAATAAGAACCCAGACCTGATCCCAAGCTATACCCAAAATGATAGACCTTTCGAGTTTCGACTGTTTTTCCTGTATACCCTCCACCATCTCAGTTTCTGTAGGGTATTCCCTACTTCTTTACGTCTCCATTTCTCATGGCTTTTCTTGTTATTGCTTTGACTGTTTTTATGGCTTAATATCCTGCGGGCAAAACTGGTTCAAAAGTACTGCACGAGTGTGTGTCGATGGATGGATGTATACATATGTCTACACATATGTACATATAACTCCTTCCATTCGTGGTCCCAGCGATCGATCGCTGTTTTGGCTCTACTTCTGGTGTATATCTCATGGCTCCCCACTTTTAACAGTTTTTTATTGAGCGTCTGTCTGTCTCTATATTTTTTTTTGGGGTCGTTCGCTTCGCTTTTGCTTCTTCTCCTTCTTTTGCTGGCCAAACGGGTTCCCACTTCTCCGTTGTGGTTCTTAAATTGCAAAAATACACTGTGTTTTTGCCTTATTTCTTTATGAATCAACATGTGAGAAAAGGCTATCGACTGAGAATTGAGCACAGCTGGGGTCCTGTTGTAAGACGATCAGCATTGACCGGTTTCCTGGGATGAAGACGGACAGAGAGAGGGAGAGGGAGAGAGAGAGTGCCAAGGGGATAGACACAGCCCAAGGATTTAAAACAAGGGATTTGCAACACTAAAACACTCTGGTCTTTAAATATTTCACAGAAAACCCCAATGAATCCCAAGTTTTCTCCTGCTCCTCGATGGTATAGTGGCCAGTATCCCCGCCTGTCGCTGTTTTTATATTCTAACTTATTTCTCTTCTTTTTCCTTCTCGTAATATTGCATTGCATAACATTTGGGAATTCCCAAATTAACACTTGTTGCCAGAGAGAAACGAAATTAAGCTCCAGCCCCGGGGCGGGCAGTGTCAATGCAAATCCGGCAAGAAACCCGTTTCAAAGAAAGTGAAATGAAAGAAAAATATTCATTTTTTGTGTTATTTTGTTTGCCAGAGAGCGGGAGAGAAAATCAATAATTAAAAATAAGCCAGGAGCTAAAAATAAAAATATGCACAAGGTGGGTAGCCCCCCACACACACACACCCTCACACACACACACACAGCACTCATATGTGTGGTTCGTGAATAAATCAACTGTAAATCAAAGAAGGTATAGCCCCAGTCAGAGAGAGAGGAAGGGAGGGAGAGGGAGGAAACAGCAACCGCAAAACAGCGGAAACCCCCAATTAGAATTTCTTCACTTTGAAGAGAGCGAGGAACCTTCTGGCTAGAGGAATGGAACCATAATTTGACAAATTATTGATTAGCCCAGTGCTTTTCGAACTCTGAGTCATTCGAAAATTCAATTAGAACACGGGAGAAGCCCTAGAAAATACTCAAAAACTTTGGTAATGCTGATATTTTTAGGAAAATTACATAACGCTGGAAAATAAACAACAACAACGAGAAGAAAGCACTGAAAATAAGTGCAAGCTTTTGATAAAGGAAATCATTGTGTGATAATTGTATTTGTATTTGTGTACGTGGTGGTGTGTGCGTGTGCGTGTGTGTATTTCTTATCAGGCAGAGATTTGTGTCCGCTTTTCCACTTTCTCTCTCTGCTTCTCACTCTCTCTCTCTCTCTTAGGGGGATTACACAATTGATTTGTTGTTGTAATCGCCACTATTTATAGAAACAAACAATTTCAATATAATTGCCAGCGCACAAGCAATTGAATTTCAATTATGCAAATCAATTGGGCAAAATTATAAGGGGAATGTAAGTGAAAATATACCGAATTTGGAATACGCTGCCAATACAATTTCTGGTCAGCTAGTTTAGGGTACAGGGTGACCTTGTTTTAGTTAATATTCAAAACGTTTGGTCGGTCTTACTTGAAGGCGTTTTGATCCTTCAATTCAAGCGGAAATCCCTATTCCATTATGTATCAGATTTCGACTAATTGACAATAGTTTTGCTGTTATTGTTATTTTATCAAACAGAAAGGGTATTAGAGTTTGTTTTGTAACCAAATTCCTTTGACAATGCGCCTTGTTTGTGTGTGCTTGCTATTATTAATATAATTGTTATTGTGTTATTCGCTGCGACGGTTTCGCTGTGCTTCTGTAATCGAATTGCTGCCACACGGACTGCTAAACACAACATAACGTGTCAATATCCAATTTCAATGGCATTTTGACGTTTTGAAAGGCACTGCCGACAGCAACAACATTCAACTACTATCGTTCTGATTCGCATAACACATAAATGGACAACACACAGACACACCGGACAGAGTACTTCAAGGGCCGCCTCCTCCACGCCAGCACCCTCTCTGTCACTCCAAATGACCTATCAAGCAGCGCATTGATAAGCACAAGAGAACATCACACATACAGAAAGCACTTGAGAACGCACACTATCACTCACTATCGCTCTCGCTCTCCCTCTCTCGTAGGCCAAGGCGCAAGCAGTGCGAACAAGTTGGCTAGATAAGCGAGCGTTGATTAGCAGCGACGTCAGACAATGGCGAGGCGAAATGAACGAGTGTGCGAGCGAGTGGGAAGAGTGGGCATGCAGCCTGCAGTGTAAGCAGGAGGAGGAGGAGACGGGGGAGGCGAGAGCCTGGCATAAGGAGAGAGTGAGGTGCAAGCGCCAGTGCAACAAGAGTACAGTGGGCTGCAGACCACAAATAAATGACACTCCTAGTCCCGACATGGAATAAATGAATATGCGAATCAATATTTTTACAAAAAGGTTTTTTATTTTTTTGCTGGAAATACTTATGATTAGTACCATTGTACCAGACTGATTGACGCTGCTTTGGGGTTGGGTTTGCGCGTCACAGCAGCAGCAGCCCCAGCAGCAGCAACAACAATTCCATTCACTATGTAGTCTATCAACGCCACAGCCTCAAACAGACAAACTGTGTGTCTGTTTGTCTGTATGTTTGTGTGTCGGGGCGCCTCAATGGCCGATTGACCTTTGCATGTTAGATTAACATTGAATATGCAGCACCCCCGCACACCCCCAACAGTCTGTGTGTACGTGTGGTTAGAGATTTAATTAGTTTAGCCTCAGCTGGGAGACCACCACGTGCAAAAGCTAAAAGTTATGCAAATGACTATGATCGAGGTCAAACGCTATCATTTATCTATGCAGCATAGAATACATGTCTGCGTGTGTGTGTGTGTGTGTGTGTCGAAAAATTGTCGGTAATTTGCTTTCTAGTGTTCTCTTCCTGCCTGCCTTTGGGGCTCATTTGGTGCCAGACGACCCCGAAAATCACCACAGAACCCAATCGAAAATCTCCTCCAACCCTGTCTGGGGTCCCAACCCTGCTTTTACGGTTATTTACGCTCGTTTCCTTCCTTCCTTCCTTCCGCCTTCTGTGCCGCGTGGGCGGGCGTGTGAATGAGTGGAGGAATGTGCATATGCAGCTTAAGGGCGAGCGGCGTAGGGGGGCGTGTGCGGTCGACATTGAAAAACCTCACGTGCGTTTCGCGTTGCCAACTAAAAAATATCGTACTTTTTTTTCATTCTCTTATGTTGGCTGATGCTCTGTTGAGGTCAAAGTCGCGGGTGAAATACAATGCGAGCATTTTTTCTCAAATAAGCATTTGCCAAATTGAAGGCTACACACACTCTGATTAAGCTGGTCACACTTTCAGTTCATTCCCACACTATTGTGCATCCTATGGATGTCCCTCTCTCTGGCATCTGCCTTCAGCCTTCAGCCTTGCTGCTGCTGTGCCTTCAACATGTGTTCAACATAAGAATGGATCGGGTGTACAAGAACAACAAAAACACTAACCCGGCAAAACTCCGTCAAACGGCGCTTTTAGTCAGACCACTGCGAGAGCAAGAGAGAGAGAGAGCTCTGCTTCTTGGCCTCATGCATGGATTTCTGTGTGCAATGCAGGGGGGATCAGCAGAGCCAGCAGCAGAGCACTGCTTGGTCCAACTGTAAGCAGCTGTTGTTGGATTGACTTCTGCTGCGGCGGCCGTTCCACTCTCTGCTGTTGTTGTTTCTGCTGCTGCTTTCTTTGTTGTTTTTGCTGCTGGATTTTGTTGTACTTGAGAACGTGTTTTTCCTCGTTTTTGTTTTATAATTGTTTAATTGCTTTTTATGGCCTGCACTTTATTCCGGTTTCTTTTTTGTATTTGCACACTTTTGAGAATATTTATTGCAATTTTTAGTGGGAATACTGCTTGCTATGCTTGGAATTAAATGAAATATTTAATCTTTTGATATTTGGACACTGCTTGCATCTTACATTTACATCTTATTTCACAATGATATAAAATATTCTATATTTTTTGCAATTAAACTTGAGACTCTCCCCCAAATCGGTAGATTTCCACGAAAAGCTCTGAATAATCTAAAATTTCCCTTACGATCGCAGAACAGGGTGTTGCGTGATCTCACTGGGTGTTTCTCCTTTCAAAGATGTATTCCCTTTCGGGGTTTGAACACTTTTCACAGCACTTTTCGTTCTTTTTTTTCCACAATTAAGCCATTTCTGTATTATTATTAAAATTTTCTTTTGTTTTTGTGTTTGCTACTGTTTGCTTTTTTCTGTTTTTTTATTGGATGAAAACGGTTTTAATTTGTCATATCCGTTACGCTTTGTCTCTCTGTGTGTGTGTGTGTGTTTGCACCAGGGAGAGATGGAGTTATATAGGGGATTTCGGAGAGGGTTAAGGTTCATGATGTTGCATTTTGAGGGCCTCTTTCTCTCACTGCTTGAAACTTTCGCCACATTACGAAAACCTTGCTTCCTTGCCCCTTCTTAAAACTCTTTTTTTTTAACAGTTTCTTGTCGTTACAGGTCAAAAGTCTGCAAGACAAAGCAGTGGAGAAGGAGAGCGCTAGCAAGAGAAAGAGAACGAGGAGAGCAGCGCAGCGCAGCGCAGCATACAGATACCGAAAAGGTAGGCAGCAGGCAAAATAAATTGTAGAAAAAACCTCATAAATAACTCGAAAAACCAGTTTATGTTGCCGGTGTACAAACAGAAAACAACAATAACACCGAGAATGTGCAAGCAGCAGAGGAAGTGCGAGCGAGCCAAGAATAGTACTTAACGCGAAGAAACAACAGAAACTCGTTAAAGCTCTGCAGAAGATGTTGGAAAAATAAAGCACAGAAGACAGCTGACTCGAAAAAACCAAAAGATACATACACACAGCTGTGTGTTCGATACAGAACGAGAGAAGAGATGAAGAGATATTCAGATACAATTCCAAGAGCGATAATGGAATTGCTTGGCAGGAGGAATTGGATTTGCCAACTCTTCTATGGATAACAGGGATACAAAGAGAGACGAATATCCGTGTGGGGGCTACTGAATTCACAAAAAAAAAAAAAAAACAACAAAAACTGGAGCAAACACAAATTAAACTAAACGTCATAGCGATAAAATGATTAACACGTACAACAACACCAGAAATTTTCCCCTTATATGTGGGTATATTTTGTGTAACTACAGATGTGTGTGTGTTTGTGTGTAGTGCACACCCGCAGCGCACCGCGCGACCTCTGAGTGATTGCAAAAAAACTCAAAAGGAGGAGGAATGACAACTGCTACGGAAAGCGATCGAAAATGAACTGTGCCGGAGAGAGAGAACACTTGGCAAAGTCGCATCGTGTTCAGTCGCGTCCGGGGCAGAGAGAGAGACAGAGAGAGGAGAGAGCGAATGCGGGAGAGCGAGGCAAGGCAAAACACTTGTGAGCGTGTGAAAATGAAAATGCGGCAAATGAGCATTTCGTATTAGTATGTAATTATTGTTCATGGCGCTGTTCTGCTGCCGCCGCCACATGTGGCAGAGCGAGAGAGAGCAAACATAGGAGAGAGATACTGCACTAGTAAATGTGAGAGAGAAAGATACAATAGCAAATGTAGCAGAGCAAGATACAATAGCTAATGTAGAGGAGAGAGAGATACTACAATAGCTAATGTAGTGGGAGAGGGCGATACTTAAACGGCAATAGTGTGCGAGAGCGAGCGACATATTGACAATGATGATGTATAAGTAAGTAGCCGCGTGCGTGTGTACATGCGTCAGAGGCGACGACCCAAGCTTATGGCAAACTCGTTACACAAACAAAACGCACCTGTCAAGCACACACATGCATGCACTCTCTCACTCTCCCACTCTCTGCTCTGAGCCGGCAAGCAGATCTTGCAGCTCAGCGCAGTCGCAGCTTCTGTTGGACAGAGTAACGGGTGGATGACTCATGCATGCAGTGAATAAGCAGTGAAGCAGTGCAGCAGAGCTGGATGGTGGGGACTGCTTGAACAACGACACTGCTTCTATAGCGTAACAGTCTATGAATGATATTGCTGTTCGTTTTTGTGGGAGTATTAACTGTTGGGCCACTGCTTTGAACAGCTGATCTAGACAATCAAATTTATGACGAAAATAAAATTGCAGGAAAACCATAACTGTAACTGTAAGGTTGATTTAATTTTATATTGCACACGTTTATTAAAAAAAAGAAAAGAAAACAGTGATGTTGAAAATAAATTTTTACACGCCACTTGCGCTACATAATAAAAGAAAACTAAACAAAAAACTAAACCAACGTAACTTTGTTGCCAACCAACCGACACACACACACAGAGACAGCCATATGTAACGTAAAACAAACTTTTTGTATTACTTTTTATTATTTAATAGCAGAAGCAGCTCCATGGGGCGGCTCTGGCCGTGGGGTTGTAGGGTGTTTCTTCGGTTGGGATAACCTACATTTTGAGTCGAGCTGGCAACGAGAACAACAAGAAACATGTAACTGTAACGTAGGCCAGGCCGGGCCAGGGTTGCCACCTGGCCCCAATCGGCAAGGAATCGAAAGAGAGGGAGGAGAGTGAGAGGGGTAGAACCAGAGGAACCGCAAAAAGCAAAGCCAAAGTTGCGTGTGGCGAAAAGTAGCTTCAATAATAATAATACAAGAAAATGCTGATGAAAAATGAACGAAAGCGAGAGGAGGGATAAATTGACGAGGAGAGAGGGGGAATGGGGGCAAGCAGCTGTGGCTCACAAAAACAAAAAACAAGGACAAATTGCGGATTAAGCAAAAAGAATGTGAATGTAAAAGCGTACACAAAGGAAATAAAAAAGCAAAGCACATGACTTCCAGACCGACTAACGGGACCAATAAACCAACCGACCGACCCTCCGACCGACCGACCGTCAGACCCCAACGACCCAACCATCCACAAACACCACAGCCACTGCCCCGCTGCTGATGACGTCATTAGGCTGTTGTCGACTGTCAATCGGTCGGTACTGCTGCCTGCCTCCACTGCTTCTTTCTCTCTTGCGAGAGACACGGAAGAGAGAGTGAGTGAGTGGCGGCAACTGCTTGCTTGCGTGTGCTTGTGTGGGTGCACGCAGCAACAAGAAAGAAAAGGCCAAGTTTGCTGACGATTAGCAGCATAAGTGGAACCACCGCAAGCTGATGGCTGATGGCCAGGGCTGCCACCAGGCGGCCCCCAATCGCCACCACTCGCCGCCGCCGAAGATGATGTGAAAGATGATGTCTAATGTTTTAGTGTGCGACAGAAATGGTCAATGCGAGGGCGTTCGCCTAGAGAAACGGTGACATCTGTACACTCTTTCGTTGGGCATAGGGCGAATCCAAGATTGTAAGCAGTGCGACCACTTGAAGCAGTAGCATTGGAACAAACTATACCAAAAATTGGTGTTACCAGATCATCAATCGCTCTATCTTGAATTGATTTTATTTGGAATAAAAACGAGAATCAATCGCTGATACAGTGAGCTACAGATGTACATGCCATTGGGGATGCGGGGGGGCATAGAAATGCTGTTCATGCACTTTTCAATGCACCTATCCATTGGATACAGAGGGCATGGCAGCTCTTCAAACAAAAGTTCACAATGAAATGCACATGGCAGTGTACAATGGTACAGCAAACGTAAGCAGAAAAACAGGAAAACCAATAGTGTGAAATTTTCATCTAATTAAATTAGATGCCAGTCATGCTTGAACACGAGAGGGAAGGCAGGCGGGGAGGGCGGTGTGCGGGCAGCGTGCGTGTGCAAGTGAAAAGCCTGTCAAACAAATCGATGGGGATTTAGTTAACAAACAGCTGACACAAAGCTTGGACACAGTCCACAGTCCTCCTCCCCATCTCCACAGCAGCTTCAGCTTTATGTACCTTTAAAACCCATCCGCAGTGACTCATCACGTATTATTCTATACGTTTGACAGCAAAACGGAAAAGAAATCCGCACAGAAATCCTTTTGCACTTAAGCTCGAATGGCCCGAGAGAAGAGGAAGGCTGACAGCCCCCGTGTGTCCACCACCACCTCAGCCAGTGTTGATTAACGAACGAGCATCGTGCTAGTGGACTTTGGATTAATGAATAATACAGAATACAGTCTGTTATCTGTTCTTCATTGCATTACAACATTCATTTGTCATTGCAAAAGAAAAATCATCTTCTCTGCAGAGGCACTTCTTTCAATAGGAGAACGATATCTGCTCTAATTTCCAGCAATAATCGCTATAATTTATTTCTCCATCACAGCGATAACTGTTTCCATTTTGAAAATTTAGACAGCTTTTGCGGCTGATAAAAAGTTTTACGACATTGATTAATAAAATAAATGACTTTGTTTGGGAAGCTATCAGAATTTTGAAATCAGAGACCGCCTAGGCGCAGTTTACGCAGCACTCGACGCACACAGCGACTTTTTACCGATTTTCTCACATTTCCACACTGGAAAAGTTCAAGTGCAACGAGCCAAAGAGCAGGAAAATGAAAAGGGACAAGTGCTCTTCTTTCAACTATTTTCAACTTGCTCGAGTTGCCTTCCCTTTTCACCCCGCTCTTCCCCCGACACTCTCCACTCTCCAATCTCTGCTCCTGTCCTCGAAGTCTCCTACAGAGCTCAACTATTTGCGTTAATTTCTCATCTTTGTCTCTGTCCCGGGCATTCCTTTGGTGGAGAAAAGAGGATGAGCAAGTAGAACCATGGACGGGGGTGGGAGGGGGACAAACTTATTAGAGGCAGAACGAGGCGCACTAACAAG